CAGCTGCCGCGGCATTGGCGCCATTTAGCTGACTGCCGTAGGCGACCATGGCGCCCTGACCAGCGCCCGCCTGGTAGTGCCCATTATGACCGGCAGATGAGCCCTGATAGTGAGAGTAGTAGTCAAAGGGGGTTGCTGCCGGCGGTGCTGCTGCTGGCGGTGCAATGACGCTGCTGCTGCTGCTGTTGCTGCTGTTTGCAGAGGCAGAAGCGGCGGCGGCAGCGGCGATGGCAACTGCGGCATTTGCCGCCGAGTCGGCAGCAGAAACGCAACCGGAGGAAAAGTGATTCATTGCCAAGTGGTGGGCAGGTGAACGAGCTGGGTCAAACGGGAAGGGGAGATTCGGGTCAATTGATTTTGTCTTGAACCGGTAATTTAAAAACAGCTGAAACTCTAAGATTGAAATACTGATGGAAAGAATTTAACGGCTGTTGTTTGTCGCCGTCCGCTCGGCTCGGCACTCTGGACCGCATTGAGCACCGACTGTCCCCGTCAGTGGCCATTTATTTTTAGTGTTGATGGTGGTGGTGATGATGATGATGTCGGCAGAAAAGGAAGAAGAAAAATGGCATAGACAGAACAGACGAGTGTAGATGTGCAGAAAGAGAGAGAGAGAGAGAGAGAGAGAGAGAGAGAGAGAGAGCGAGGGGGCAGCGGACAAAAAAGTGCACCCAATCGGCACGCTCCAGAGCTGGTACCGATTAAAGTTTGCTGACTGTGCCTCTAATTCTATTCATTTGTGTCTGCTGCGTCTTTCCCATTGGATGGCCGGTTCCAAAGGGGGCGGTTCTACGTTTATGCGGAAAAGGATGCCGTTGGGATGATCCAGAAACGGAAAATTATTTATGTAACATTGTAAACGTTGATTTGTGTAAACGTACATTTGTAGTGGCTCCAAATGCTAATCTAAACAAATTCGTTTTGCGCAAAGTTTGCATGTTTAAATGCTCGGTAATAAAAAGGATTGTATTTTATTTATTTACTAGCTGAATTGATTGCAACAATAAAATGTTTGTTTTTAAAAAATTATAAAACAGCGTTGCAAAAATTTGTAAATAATTAAAACATTTAACAATAGAAAGTGTAATTNCAAATGCTAATCTAAACAAATTCGTTTTGCGCAAAGTTTGCATGTTTAAATGCTCGGTAATAAAAAGGATTGTATTTTATTTATTTACTAGCTGAATTGGTTGCAACAATAAAATGTTTGTTTTTCAAAAATTATAAAACAGCATTGCAAAAATTTGTAAATAATTAAAACATTTAACAATAGAAAGTGTAATTAAAAAGTAAAAAGTTTAAAATGTTTAAGAAAACACATAAAAATAAATTACTTAAAAACAATTTTAAAAATTTTATTAAATTACAATAAAAAAACATTGTGTAATTCTTCATTTACAAACATTGCTCAGTTACAAAGTTTTTAATTTTACAACTTTTACACGTTTGAAACAACTGCTTTTGTTTGCTTCTAAAGAATTTGTTTGTATCTGACAGTTTCTGGTAGCGTACTCTGGTGGTGGGTGAGTGACTGACGTTCTGTTTGTCAGTGGCTGATTTACGTCAGCTGCGAGTGAGTCAGAAGCTGTGTGTGTGTGTGTGTTTACAATAGACTGGCACTTTGCAGTGTGTTGAGTGCATTGAAAGCGATTGCAGTACTCTTTGCAGGCTTACTCACACACATACACACACTTTGGCGGTGTTATCACACTAACTGAATGCGCACTGTCGTCGCCAACCACTACGATTACCATTACCTCGACACTGCTTTGGCTGCTGTTGATTGCCTCCATTGCTCACCATCGTTTGCCTCTGTCGATTACTCATTCATCGAGCTTGTGGTGAATACCTTTTTCTTTCTCTCACACACACAAAGGCTTTGATCCCATTTGGTGCTCCGGTGGCAGTGTCAGATTCATCAAAAAGTAACTGTCACAACTTTAACTGTTTTCATTACAAGTTTTACCGTATTTCGTTCACTTGATATACACCCGGTGTCACACAATGGAGAGTAAGTTGTCTGAGATGTCGGAGATGTTTACAACTTTGTGTGCTAATTCAACACATTTTTTATTTTTCCAGAACATTTGTTTAACCTGAAAATTGCCGCCAAGGAGCTGGAACGTAACTCTAAGAAGTGCGTCAAGGAGGAAGGCGTTGAAAAGCTAAAATGCAAAAAGTCCATTCAAAAGGGTGTGTAGTAATTTTACATGCATTTTACTTTGTTCAAATTTGCTAAAGCTCTTTCCATCTCATCTTTTAACTTTTTTAGGCAACATCGAAGGCGCCCGAATTCACGCGGAAAACGCCATCCGCCAGCACAACAACTCACTGAACTACCTGCGAATGTCTGCCCGAGTTGATGCGGTCGCCTCGCGCGTGCAAACGGCAATGACCACAAAGAAAATCACCCAGTCGATTGGCGGCGTCACCAAGGCCATGGAGTCGGCGATGCGGTCGATGAACCTGGAGAAGATCAGTCAGATTATGGACAAATTCGAGAAGCAGTTCGAAGACCTGGACGTGCAGACCAAGACGATGGACAATGCGATGAGCAGCACGACGACCATCAGCACGCCGGAGCACCAGGTCGACGGGCTGATGCAGCAGATCGCCGATGAGGCAGGGTAAGTGGCCAAAAGGCTTTGGGATTTGCAAAAAAGGGTACTATACTGATATACTTGCGTTGTTTTGCTTGCAGATTGGAAATAAACATGGAGTTGCCATCAAACGTGACATCGACCATTGGCAGCAAGACTGCCACCGCATCTCAGGAGCAAGTCCAAGACGACCTGTCGAAGCGACTGGCTCAGTTGCGCCAAATGTAAACACTGCCCTCTTTCACCAGTCTTTCATTGCCCCAATTTAAAATTCCATTACAATGCCATTATTGACGTCCGTTTGAACAAAAAAAAAAATAACACAAGTTGCCTAGTATGGAGCGCAACATACAAAATACATATTTTTTATACAATTCCAAAACCATATTTTGTATTTATTAAACTGATAAATAGAAAATACAACTTAAAATGTAATTTGCAAATTAAAATGCTTGTATATTACAGATATGTTAAATGCAAACGTTGAATGACTTTAAAACTCATTCAATATCAATCTTCATTGCAATATAAAATATTCATAAACTAAAGATAATGTCTAAACCACAATTTTAGTCAATTGGATGTGTCTACCTAACATGATATTAGTAATTCAAAGCTAGGAAATCACTTTAAACACGCCTACAACATAAAGTGTAATGAATAGCTTTTTTGTCATTTTTTGCTGACGCCTATTTAGAAGATGTTGTACGGATAATTGAGGCACAATGAAAAAGTGCTGCATCTGTTTAAGATGGTCTTATGGTTTAAGGACTGTTCTACTACACTGTTTAACACAGTACAACCCATCTACTGACTGTTCAGTCAATTGCTGTCGTTCACACTTGATTAGCAGGTAACTGCTCAAACCGTGATGATTTATTGTCTATTGACAGGACCGTATTTATTAGAAACCAGCACAGTTTGGTGATTAGCACACACACACACTAACACAAGCTTAGCTTTGGTGTGATAATCTGTTTCATCAGAAAACACTTACTTATTTACTTAAGCAAGATTTTTTTCTTTTTTTTCTTTTTTATTTTTCACTTAAAACATGCAGCTAAACTTCACTTTGACAAGTAAAGAGAAGTAAAAAGTTCAAAAACAGACAAAAAGCAACAAAAAGTGCAATTGCCGACTGCCTGACAGTCATTTTGCGGTCAGCAATTACAAGCTCGGTTGCTGCTTTAAAACGGGTTGCGAATTCTTTTTGTTTTATCTTTTTTGTTGTTTCCTTTGATGTTTAGCTTATTTAGTCTTTTTGATGTGCCAAAGTGGTAGTAGTAGTGTGACTCAGTTGGTGGTAAAGCTGAGTTGCGGCAAATTGCTCGCTTTACTGCTGTGGTGGCGGTGGTACTACCTGGAAGAGAGCAGTGTCGGCAACGACGACCACCATCGTCTGCCATCACCTGCCATCATCACCGACAGTCAGTTACTGAATCAGGTTTAAAATCATCGCTCAGTGCTCAGCACTAAAGTGATGGTGATAATGGCCGTCTGACCAGTATTTAAGCTAATTTCAATTCACCTAAAGGATTAAGGCCTCTAAAATCGCTCCTTCTTTTGACAGCCTTTGGAGACTCTAGTCCCATTACTCTGAAAAACGGTATTATTTTGAAAAACGTTAAGTCAAGACTAAAAACTGTTTTAAATTGATAAAAAGTGTTTTTGTAATTTTTGTCATTGATTTGTAAAAGTTCCCGGTAATACGGAAAAATGTTTACGGTACACATTTTTGTTGTTGTTTCAGTAGGCAATCATAAGGACACGATTACTACTACTACTACTACTACTACTATGAAGAAAAGTGAACCTAGGCCGCCTTATGACCGCTGGAATGCAGCAGGCGATCACTGCTGCTGACTACTACTGCAGCAAGAAAACGGCCAATTTGAGGAGCGGCACTGAGACTGCCTGAGTTTGCTTGCTTGCTTGCCTGAACGACTGACTGTCACTACTGACTGACTGACTGGCTACCCAGCCAACTGCTGCCGCCGATTAACCGCTGATCTTCTCTTTCTCTCTCTCAACTGCTCTCAATTGTAGTTGTCGTGTTTTCTAAATGCAGAAAAAATACAAGAAAAGAGAGAGAGAGAAAAAGAGGGAGCTGGAAAAAGCTAGACCCTGGGTCCATCTGCTTGAGTGGAACTGCGTGGTGTTCTGCTCTCGTTCTTTATTTTTTTGCAAAATTTTTCCAAATGCACTGCACATTGTGCCATTCCACAGTCAGTCAGTCAGACAAACAGACGGAGTGCAGAAACAGGGGAGCTTTGCAGAGGCAAAGAACTGTCTTAAATTTTTTTTTATTTTTTCTGACTGGGGCCCATCTGTTCTCATTTGGGCAGACGGTGCTGCAGTCGATTAGATTTAAGCAAGAGAGAGAGAGAGAGAGAGAGAAAGAGAGAGAAATAAAGGAGACACTGGGACAAGGGACAATTTGCAGTGCGGTGCTGTGCCCTCTAGGAGCAGCTGCATCAGCAGATTGCGTTTCTGGGTTTTCATCGTTCACCCACTTTAAAGTAGAAGAAAAAAGAAAAAAGACAAGAGAAGAAGCGCAGAAGAAAGCGGCTGCCACNAGACACTGGGACAAGGGACAATTTGCAGTGTTGTGCTGTGCCCTCTAGGAGCAGCTGCATCAGCAGATTGCGTTTCTGGGTTTTCATCGCTCACCCACTTTAAAGTAGAGGAAAAAAGAAAAAAGACAAGAGAAGAAGCGCAGAAGAAAGCGGCTGCCACTAGACACTAGTAATGCTAAAGAAAGATGGCCATCTCTACTCTACAGCTTTAATTTGGGGGTTGCAGCAACAACTGAACAACAACTTTTCTTTGCTCTTCTTTGCTCTTCGGCAGCAGCACCAGCAGCAACGTTCCTCTTCTGTGGCCTTTTTGTTGCTTATTCAGCTTCTTCAATTTCGACTGTTGCTGCTGTTGCTGTTGCTGCCGCCGCCGCCTCTGGTGCTGCGGAATGCAACTTACACACACAGTGTAAGTGAGAGGGAAACGAGGGGAGTGAGAAATAGAAAGATTGTTGCAGGCCAAGTGCAGAAGACGAAAAAGTAAAACGGCTGAGGGAAAAAAGTGAGAGGGAGAGGAGCAGGGAAGAAGAAGAAGAGGAGGCCAAGACACTGCCACCAATCGATTGTCTGTCTGTCTGTCTGTCTGTTCTGTTCTGTTCTGATCTCTGCTGAACACTTCGTTCGTTGATGTCCCAGTGATGGCTGCACTGCTGCTAATGCTGTTGGTGTCAGTTCTCTGACTTGGCTAAGCTGTTGCCGCTCAGTGTAAGTGTGTGGCGGTGGTGGTGTGTGTGTATGTCTGTGTCTATGTCTGTGTTAATGTGTGTGTCTGCACACTCTCTCTCTCATTCTCACTATCTATTTCTTTCTCTCTCTCTCTCTCTTCTCTTTTTTACCTTCCCCCTCTTCTTGTGATTCTCCAACAACGCCGCTCATCGATTACATCAAAGGCGCAACGGAGCAACCCCTTTGTGTGTACATGTATGCAGCTTGTCTCTGATATTGTTTTGTTGTGTCGCCAAAAAAAGCTGCAACAGCATCACCACTATCACCATCACCATCATCATCATCAGCATCAGTAGACTTTGTCTGTGTTTGTGTCTGTGTCTGTGTCCGTCTAGCTGACATCGATGGACGAGACATCAGAACAGTCGATTCTGTGTGTGTGTGTTGATTTGGGATGATGCTGAGGCTGATTCTTAAACAGACACCGCTGATAAATAGAAAAAAGAAAAATATTTTGTGTTTTAGTGTGTTCTCTTTTTGAAAGGAAAAACAACGTTGCTCAAATTTATCATTAAGTACTCATCAATGTTTTAATTATCACTATGATCATCACCATCATCAAGCATCATAAGTTTGTTTTTGTGTCATAATGTCACAAACTTTACTCATTGTTTTTGTTGACAAAAATCATCATAAACAACATCTTTATGGCAACTTAGATTTTTGATTTAAAATTAAATGACGTCAACAAGTGTTTAATAAACCTCAAATCACCTCTATTTATTTCAAGTATTATTAATTCAACTAAACAAATAATTTTTTTTCAAAGTAAGTCAGCACAGTTTTATTCAAATGCACAATGCTAGCAATATAATTTTAGTCAATCACTTTTTTATTTGCTGCAAAGTTTGAAAATTTGAAAGCTAATTTAGTAAAAGTTGTCTGAGCACACACGCGTCGACAGGCCATTAAACTGTCAACAAGTAAAAAACAGCGTTCTGCAAAGCACTTTTTACTTAGGAAACAAATTCAAATTAACCGTGAAACTAAACAAATGAGATGAATTATGATAGCTGTTGCTATGTTTCGCGCATTTAAAAAATTAGTGTTTTTACAAATAGATCCTACTTGTAAAGTATTTAAAATATTTGTGAATCTTTTTTGTTGTTAATAATTTTTATTTCAACTGTTTTTTGTAAACCAAATGAATTAAAAAATTAAAAATTCAAGAATTTTGTTTAGTTAGTTTAAAGTTTTACCAACTGCAACAAAGTTTTTTACTGCAAATAACAAACAAATGTTTTTGAAAAATACATAAACGACACTCAGCAATTTGATGTTTTGTGTCATTTTTCAATTGGATTTATTTGCTAATCTATTTTGTTGTTAAGTATTTTCAAATTTGTTTAAATAAAAAAACAGTTTAAAAGATGCAACTGACACATGCTCAACCTACACCAAGTTGTTGCATTTCAAACTCTTGACATGATGCTATCAGTAGCCTAAACGACAAACAAACAAAAAATTATTAAATTGTTTTTGTTTAAAATTAACAGCTAATTACTGATCATTAAGGATTTGTGATTGCTGCATCTTTATTGCTTTAGATAATACAAATTGCACATTTTTGTTGGTTTTTAACAAACCAGTGCCGTGTTTGAGTGTGTAAATCTTAAAAACAATTTTCAAAGTACTTTATCTTAAGCAACTCTGATCTTTTTTGCTATTGCCAGACACACTGTTTTCCAACTAGGTATTCACTATTTGTTATTTTTTGTTGAAGTTGCATTCCATTCTCACTACTGCTGAAGAGGACGCAAATGCCTGATCAACGTTTTGACCATTGGTTCTCCTCTCTCTCTCGCTCTCTTCCTTGATCTTCTTGTTCTCATTTTTCTCTTTTCTTCTTTTTTTCTGTTGTTGCTCTTGCAGTTGTTGCTGCTCTCACCAATGGCACACAAATTATCGCCAATTCAAAGTGTCATCAGCTGGCCATAAATCAAGTAGTACAAACCGAGAGAAGAAGATAGAGAAAGAAAGAGAGAAAGAGAGAAAGAGGGAAAAAGTTCATGATGCTCGGCTTTTGACTGTCAATACTTAGCTTGCTCTACTACTGTTTTGCTTCGAGTAAAAAATGCAGAAAAATACATGTTATTTGAAAGCAACATTGCTAGTGTAGCAAATCAACTTTGAAAGAGAGCAGACAATCACAGCATTAAAGCAGTTTATGCCTGTCTGTCTGACTGACTGTCTTTGCTGCACTTGCTCTCGTTCTCTCCTTTTCCTGGTGTCTTTCTAGTTAATTCCTCGTTACAGCAACCTTCCAGCATTTTGCGGCCGCCGCAGCATCAGCATCAGTATACCCTTTTTCCACTAAATGCCTTGTGTGCTGATAGTTTCCGAGTGGTTTTCAGAGTTCACTAGCTCACACTGTTTGACAGCAAAAAGAAGGGGGGGAAGAAGGAAAAGAACTGAACGACCATTTCTCAAGATGGTATAAATAATGTGAGTATGCCATCAGCAGCAGCATCACTTCTTTATCCTGAAAAGCCAAACAGAAATCAGTTGATGAGCAGATCATTTATTGCCGTTCTTGTTTAGTATTCAGTGCACACACTTTACTTTACTTTACTGTTTTCACTCACCTTAGACAGTTCTCCCCATTGTTTGTCGACAGAAGATGATTTGCCACACTTTTCATTGCAGACAACAACACGACTATTTTTGTTTAGTAACTCCAATCTCCCAATCTGTTGATCAAACCAAGTCCGCCTCATCAACACAAGTTGTTCTGAACACTACTGCATCATTTTTTTGCTATTTCATTTTTCATTTTCAGGTTTTGTGCATTTTATCACTAGTTTTCTATCTGCTCATTTGCCTATTTGTCAGTGCAATCAGCACTGCCGACACCGCTGTCCTTGTTGTTGTCCACTTTAAAGTTACTGTTAATTTATGCAAAGTATTTTTGAACATTGCTTTTCCGCGGTGTGTGTGTGTGTTTGTGTTTACTCACTAAATTATTTATTACCCGTGTAAACTGTTACTGTAAAATTAAAATTATTTGCTAACTGACTAAAAACCATTATCAGCAGATACGACTAGGAGATATTCAAACTAAGTGCAGTTTTATTAAACAAGCAATATCGGCATTGCTTTATGATTCAAGTTTTTTTCTACAAAACTTTAGTCATTTTGTTTAAAACACAGCGACTGCATCTGTAACGGCAAATGATAGTGAAATTTATTTGAAAAAGGCGGACACCGGTTAATGGTTGTGTACATAGGGTGCACCACCATCACAACATTGCCATTACCACCAACGCACAAATTCCACAATTGGGTGAGTGCGTTCTCCCTATCTGTAGTGGTGATGGCCCTTCTAGGCAGCAGAAAGCAGTCTTTCTGATTGATTTGCCATTGCTGCCATTGCTGCCTGTAGTGCCATTAGTCATTGTTGCGGCAATTGTTGTTGCTGGTGTTGCTGTTGTTGTTGCCATTTTTTCTTTTTCTTATGGCTCAATTAGTCAAGTTTGTTATTTTAACTAGTGTTGCTGTGTTTGATAATTTGTCATCCATGCAAATGTTTGCTTGTTTTTTTCTTTTCTCTATTTTACACATTGATTTGTGTAGCCACACCAGCACTCACATGTCGCCACTATTGTGCAGCAATTGACAGTCAGTCAGTCAACTGTGCCAAAACATTTGTGGAATTTAGAAAATGTCACTGTGAGCAAGTTCTCCATAAACGCGTACTAAAAAGGTATTTTCTTTTAGGCAACGCTCAATTATGAAATTTCTAATTTTTTTATATTTTGTTTTTAAGTTATTGTTAATGTATTTTAATTAGCTGTTATAACAAATGCTTTTTAAAATTTTAACTTTATAACTAAAAATATTTAGTATTAATCTAATATTTTATTAATAAAGAAAAAACAACAAAAGTAGCAAATACCCGCTTTTCTATTCTTTAATTTTGTAAGCTTTCCTCAACCTTGACATTGAAAACGTCAGAACTACTTGGCAGTGTTTTGGGGTTTCTCAGTTGCACACAAAAAGACACACACACAAGCAAGTTGGCAGTGAACAAAACTTTTACACTAAAACGTAAGCATCGTTTAGTCACACACAAGCACGTAAATTTAAAAAACGTTACACACAATAACATTAACTTTTTGACGTCAATTTTGCTATTTTAAATTTATTTTTTGCAGTCAACCTTTTTTGCTGACAAGTTTTTCCTGTTGTTAAACAGACGAACAGCAAACAAAACAATATCATTTTATTGCACTATTCTTTGGTTGTTTTTTTGAAAAAAACACCTTATGGTGATGCTAATGATGATGATGATGATGATAGCATTGTTATTCATTTGAAAACTAAATTGACTCAATTGACTACATTTGTGCATTTATTAAGCAGTCACAATGCTAATGCTATCAATGACTTTATTCTTTCCTTTCTATTTTCTATTTACCATGTGAACAAAGTGGTGCTAGCAAACTGCATTAGCTTTAGCACGTTTTGTGTTGCTGTGCTTTTTCAATGTCAATTACCAAACCCTTTCACAGAAAACTGTAGTTGAATTTTTTAAACTTAAAAATGCAATGTTTTATTGCATAACACAAAATGCAAGTAAATTATTCATTCATTTTTTTATTACTACAGTTACTTCAACTTGATCTCTATTTCAACAACCAATATATAAAACTTTTACCCTTTGTCTTTATCTACAAAATACAACCACTTCCGACATTATCATTTAAAAAACTGCATGAAAATTTTACCATCAAGTGCCAAACTTAGTTCCTCTCAGATTTTCCACTTTTTTTTCGACAGTCACCTTTGATGAGTAGTAGACTTCAGTGCTCATCTTTGCCGGGTAAAGTGCTGCCCAAAGACTACCACTGTACAGCGTTACCATGCAGCAGCCACAAAAGTCCAGTTCAGTGTCCTCTTTCTCGCCGGTCATTGCCAATGGCACAAACAACAACAACCACCATCACTACGGCCACAATGGAAACATGGCCTCCACGTCTACTTCCTCAGCCTCATCAACTTTTCCCGTTCGTGGACAACCGAACAGTTCTCCAGGCACTGGACACGGCCACAGCCACCTTTCTCAACAACTGCTCTTTGGATCCAGTTCCGGTAGTGCACTTGCTGGCGGATACACTTCAACCGGAAGCGGTCTAGGGCACTCCAGCTCGAGCAGCATTCTCTCGCAGAACTCGCTGGCTGTTGCCGGCAACAGCAGCAACAACAACGCCGACGACAAGGCGTACACGCAGAACGCCCTCAAGTTGATTCGCAACTCACTGCAGCCGTTTGCCACTAAGCACAACGGAAGTGGCGGCAGCAATGGCCTTGATCGTCGACCTTCCAGCGCCTCCAGCAACGCCTCCAGCTCCAATTCAGTGCCGGTGGCGGCTGCGGGCACCACCAATCACTCATTCGGTCAGCTGCTTCTACAGCAGGCGTCATCGGCTGCGGCTGCTGCTGCAAACAACAACAGCAACAGCAGCAGCAACAACAACAACAACAACAACAATGTCTCCTTTCTGTACCAACTGAACCCTGCTCAGCTACCTCCTGCCAGCCATGGTTCTTACCAGTACGGGCAGGTGAACAAGCTGGCCACCAGTGCCTCCTCGACGCAAATCAGCCTTCTCAATCACCCTCCAATGCCAATGAATACGCACAGTTTTTCGACTACTTTTCAGAACCATCATCATCACAACCACAACAGCAGCAGCATCCTCACCAATGGAGGTGCTCTCAGAGCTAGTTGTGATAACAATAACAACAGCAGCAGCAGCAGCAGCCATGCCAATGGCCAGGTCCAGACCGCCTCTCCTAGATTTGATGAACATCAGAGAAAGTTAATCAAAACACTCATTGAACTGGGATTACCTGAGGTGAATTTTTCATTTGTTCTGCATATTAGTTAAAATGCTAATGTTTACTTTTAACCCAATAGGAAAAGATCTCAACACTGAGCAGCAGTGAGCTGGCCGTTTTTGAGGAGAACCTTCGAAAGCAACTGCAACCATTGCTTAGTACAAACAACAACAACAGCGGTAGCAGCAGCAAAAACGTTGTCAACAACTGTCAAACACCGAAGGAAACTCAAGCAAAGAAGACCACCAGTGCCACCGATGTGATGCTTTCATCAAACACCAAACCCAATGCAACCTCTTCCTCCTCTTCCTCTTCTCAGATATACCCCAATCCCCCACTGCAATATCACCAGCTGCCTTCTCACCCCATTGTCATCGATCGGATGAATCTCTACCAGCAGGCACATGTTGCCGGTGGACAGACGGCGGCACCGGTCTCTAAACTGTTAGCCTGTCAGAGATCACCAGGTTTGGGCGCAAATGCGTCGACAAACCAGCAAACCAGTAGTGGCACAAACAGGTCGACACAACAGCAGCAAATGTACAACAGCAGAAATGATGAAAGCAGTCAAAACTACTTTAACCTAGGTGATAATGCGTTTTCAGACAGCAAAAACAACAACACCAACTCCGATTACCACAATCGCCTTCAGCTGCTGCCCAACCAGCCAAAAGTACTCAACAGCGCCGGTGTTCCTGTCACCAGCGCCGATGGCCGCTATCATTCTCATCAACAGCAACAACAGCAGCATCAGTCAAACACGCCCACCTATTCGCCATCCTCTGTTCCAGCTGCTTTTCACTCAAAGGTGGCGCCCACTGATTCAACCAGTGCCACTTCAGGCTACTCCTCCAGTTCATCGCTGAACAGTGGTCAGCAGCCACAACAACAACAACAACAACATCAACAGCTACTGCAACAGCAAAACTCCACATCATCGTTAGCATCCACCAACTCTTCACCCTCCTCTTCACCCTATCCTCGCCACTTACTCCACTCTAATGGGGCTACCTGTCTGCCGGCACTGCTTGAGTCCGCTTCCTTCACATCCTCTTCAAATGGACCAACGACATCAGGCGACTCTAGTCAACAACAACAACAACAACAACAACTGCTGCCACAATCAACAACTGCCGCCTACATGAAACTTCTGGCTGCCTCGAGGAAACAACCAAATGGTTCAGCCCTCCTCCATCAGAGTAGATCAGCCTCAGCCATTCCAAATGGAGTTCCACCCTCTTTCTCTTTGAATGGTTTTACTGTGCCAACGCCGCCACCACCTCCACTTCCGCCTCACCGTACAGCGGCGAATGCTCCCACTCCACCGCCCATACCACCGCATAATAATACTAGTGCCAGTGCCAGTGCCTGCAACTCAACAGCAGTCACAGCAACGACGACGACAACAACTACAACAACAGCAACAACAACTTCTCAAGCCATCAACTCATCAAGCTCACACTCAAATCACTGTGATTCACAACAACAACAACAACAACATCAGCAGCAGCCTCAGCAGCTGTCTCTGAGCACCGCCAGTCTGGTCAGCGCCGTCGCCAACAATCCCCAACTCCAACAGTACATTAGAGAGCACATGAGCGCAGCGGTGAACGGAACGACCACTACTACAACTACCACCAGTGGAGCTCTCTCAGCGGGTAATGCAAACAGCCAAGTAGTGCTGAGATCAAAATCTCAACCACAAATCCGAGGATCACCGCAGCCGCCTCATTTGAGGTTGGCTGCAGCAGCAGCAGCAGCAGCAGCTGCCCAAACAGTCCAGGCACAATTTGAACAGCAGCAGTCACCACAGTTCACTAGCAATGGTCATCCGACCGGCAGTGACCATCAGGCGCAGTCATTAAGTGTCAACCACAACAGCAACTGTCTTTCAGCTTTGGGCAATGATTTCTCGCCCCAACGAAACACCAGTCCAATTTTCTTCGGTCGAGCACGACTGAAGGCGGCGGCAATGGCCGCTGCCGAGCAGCACCAACATCATCAGGAGCAGGCTGATGAAGTTCCA